GCACCTGCCGCGTCACTACCCGCGCTGCTGCTGCCCTGTGTCTGTTCCCTGCTTGTGTGAGTGTGGTGCGCTGGTATGGGTCATATGATGTTCAAACTGCTGTCACTATTGTCACTTTGGTCCGCTTCGTGCACGTAACAGGCAGCGAGAGTTACTCTGTAAAAGTCATAAGTCAAGGAGGTTTTGTTTGAAACAAGTCGCTGTTGAGTCGCGTCCGCTATTTACTAGTGATGCGCGACGCTCGAGATGTTCACCTAGTGCACGTGTCTCCGTACTGTACTTCACTTTACTCTCATTGCTTTCGTCTAATCAGGAGTTTACCTACGGCGGTGACGTCACGGCCCTCCGGTATATATGTCGCCGCGACCTCGACCGCGGCTCACTCCTCCCCGCCTACACTACAACATGAGAGCCTTCGTGAGTATTCACCAATTGTTCTGAATTTCGTGACTTTCTATTCAAGTGTCTTTCTAATCTTCCCGTAAGATGTCCAACATTCAATGTCATTCAACTAATTTCAATAAACAGCTTCATTTAAAAAATATAATTATGCATTGTTTCTCATTTTTGAGTATCGGTTTGATAATAGTTGACAGTAGTAAAAGTCTCGTATTTCTTATTTGTTTTATAACTTCATATTTCTTTTTTTAGATAACATTATGTGCCTTGCTGGCGGTTGTGTCTGGTAGCGAGCTCCGCCAAAAGAGGAGTTTCTTCCACGGCCTCGGGGGTCTGAGCGCCCTGGGTCTGGACTTCACCAGTGGATTTTCTGGCTACGGTAGCGGCCACGGCAGCGGACACAGCAGTAACTATGGCAACGGTTATAGAAGGAATTACGGCTACGGCACCAGCCAGAGCGGGTACGGAGTAGTGCCTAGCAATGGTTACGGCGCTGGCTACGGCGGCGGCTACTACAGCAACGCGGCCCCCGTGGCCGTGCCCTACACCACGCCGGTGCCGGCGGTGACCTCCTACGCGCAGTCGTACGCGGCGCCGGTGGTGTACCCGGCCTCCTCGTACGCGGCAGGTACTGGATACTCGGCGCCTGCCACGCGAGTCGTTGCTGTCAGCAAGGTGGTGAACGTTCAGCGCGAGGTGACGGTGCCGCAGGTGGTGAACGTGCGCAAGGTCATCACCGAGCCAAAGGTGATCACGGTGAAGCAAGTGGTGCCCTCTGCTGGCTACACTGGCTACGGTGCTGGCGCGCCCAGTGTATACGCGCGCGACTTCTCCGGCGGGTATTCCGGCGAGTACTCTGAGGAGTACGGCGCCGCGAGCACCGCCAGCGCCGGCGCAGACAGCAGCCAGACCAGCTGGTGGTGAACACGTGCAGACACTAATATGTTACGATTATGTTAAGTTTTACTGAAGACTTGTAATTAAATACAACTGTTTACAAAAGCTGTCTTCTTTCCTTGCCTCACTTGTGACAGTTCCATTTAATAAATTCACTTCCTACACAAATATGCCATCAAACTTGTCAAACGTATAGCAGCACAATATAGTTGCAGCAACACAAATATCTTACAAAAAATGTTTTTCTAAAAGTAGACTTTGTTCACCATATAACATAGACAGTAGATACACCGTATTATTCTTTACAAATAAAAATGTCGAAAAATGTTCCTGACACATGGACTGTAAATACCTACACACCTACATCACTCTGTTACATACTATACCTACATACCTACATATTACACGTATAGAGTTCAAAGACGTTCGGGTGTCCCATTAGCACAGGAAATTATATATTGTTACTCTTATTCATAACCAATGAGTATGTAGGTACTATAGGTAGGTGTATGTTTGACTAGTCCATGGTGGGCCTCTGCTCTATTTGTTCAGGATGTATGTATAAACCTACACACACACACACACACACACACATATCCGATGGTTATATAGTATTGGCCAATGTGTTGAAATCAACACAACATCAACTTTAGTTATTCATCACAAATATGACCCAAAAATGTATTTCGCTTGTGAACATCTACAGTACTCGCCTTGTCTAAAGTTCTGTGCCCTAGAGTCTAAGATATGAATTTAGTATATTCTTAGGACAAATACACCACATTTACTCAAGTTCCTGAACAGAATCAGATTTGGAAATCAAGATTATTACATGATGATTGACTGATTGACAATGAAATTAAATGTGTAAACACAAACATAATGCGCAATCGTGCGCTAAAACATTGGTAAAGTGACAGCGAGCCGACGACCCACGAGCGAAGCAAGGTGATGTCTAACCGCAGCGACGTGTGACCAGCGACCAGTTTAATTAACAAAAACCGAGCCGCTACTCAACTTATTAACATCACTACATTACGTATTTGCGTTCATTTGTTTACTGTCTGTAATTATCGGTTTCCTAAAAATTCAATAGCAGCAAGGAGTGCAACCTTCTATTACACAAGATTATTAACTGAATAAAGTGCCCACAGCTTCGAAGAATGGTATACATAATAGACTTATATATCCTCTTCTGATGTTCTTATCTACGGGAATACTACATATCTGTAATGCCAATGCAGAAAAGACAGTTCTGTGCTTTCTAAATCGAGCTATTTATTTTCGGGTACATGCAGCCAGTGATATTTCTAAAAGTAGGTTAGCTACTAAAAATGAAGGTGACTATTAATTATTGTCTTGAATTATTAACCCTCTTATGTAGGCAACAAAAGTTGCATACACCGTAGCAGCACATCCGTTATTGTAGCTGGCTACGAGACTACGGCGTAGCGCTCAGTGCTACGAGTGTACTGTGTATTGTTGTGTATGTATGTGTTTTATTACGGCTTATTGCTTGAGGTAAGAAAGCTTTTAATCAATCTAAGCTATTGTATGTTTGGTGTTACCATACTGCTACTGCATTCATGCTGACGCTACGATGCTGCGGTGCTGACGTCACATGATTGTACTGTGGTACCTGAAGGCGGGCGGTAAGCTAACCATTATCCACTAAGCGTATTTACCTTAAAAGTCCAACTGGGGTAGGTACACTTTGTACAAAATATGATAAACGAGTTAGTCCGATGGTTCTGATTACCGACGTACCGGTGGTAGGAGTGACGACACCTATCTTAACATATTATACTTATGTCACAAAACTAAATATTGTACAATGCAGTAACTTGTCCACTATTGATGAATGTCGACAGGACATACATATACGTTGACCAAGCTGCGAGGATGTCTTTTGACGTTAAGTCGGTGCCATAAGCTCATATCATGATGATATAACTTAATGGTCACAAAATTGTAAATTAGGTATCTATTAAGGTTTTAATGAATAATTTTGTATAGAATTTATGGCGCCGACTTCTAACCTATCAGTGGGTGGGTGGGTAACCTATCAGTACTAATAATAGTTACTTTTTTCTTTTTAGTTTTGACTTTTGGTTTGTTACTAGTTTTTGGTTTTTTGAAGTCGTTTTTTTAAACGCAATTTTTATTTGTATTTAGTTCCATTATGCACAATTATAAGTCAGCGGCGGCTGATTCTAATAATGTTATTATGCACAAAACATTAACATACGTTCAATATTCGACTCGCTCACCTGTGAATTGCAACACATGTAAATTCTTATTTGAATATTTTTCCGATCTGAGTGTCTCGACCATTTGTCGTTGAGTTCAATCACATTGTCGTCGGCATAGCGATCTTGTAATTTATGTGCTTATGTGACTGGCACTGCGCTATGTCATTGACTCGTCCTGGAAATAGAACTACTGAAACCTTACATAAAAATGAAGCAAGAACGTGATATCTTCTGCAAATGTTTATTTTTTCTTTATTGGTTATGGAGGGTTTGTTCATATTAGGAACTCATATGAACATGAAAAACTTACAATCTACGTTTAATTCCTAAACTTATAAGTAAGTTGTCTTAGTAAGACTAGATGTTGGAAAGGCTAGACTTGAATTCAAGTCTGTAATTAATAAGTAATTACATATTCCAAATTCACGAATATCTATGTTACATTCTCTTTTTATCCGACATCTGTCTGCTTCATTTCGGACACACTTCACTATAATATGATGCACGTCTTCAACAATATCGCATTCCGTACAATTTGGTGACACAACCCATCATTGCAGCAAAACTATTCAATGGACTGTGTCTGCAAATATTGAACATTGACCATTCTACCGGGCACAGGGACGCCTGCTCCAGAGCCACATGTACTGAAATATATGGAACTAGTATTTAGTGTGATTATAGGATATGTATGTACATATGTGTTGGCCATTCCCAGCAACGCTTGAAATGAGTTAACATTGAAAGTGGATCACAATTTGCAAATAAATAAATAATATGAATGCCACGATGATGTTCAAGGTGAGTAAATGATTTAAACCAGTAGATGTTATCATTGCGCGAGATTACAATCAGTAGTTAGCATCAGAAGCCTTCAAATTGTGTGATACGGAGCAAGGTTGCTACGGAGTTCAATCGACTTGTAGTGGAGTTTGAATTGTTAACAATCACTGTGTAATGATGTACGATGAGAAATACGCTTTATACACTTCTGCCAGACACGGGCATTCCTGAGACAACTTGTAATGTCATACAACGTCGCCAGTCCGCTGACCCCAAGTACTTAATACAAATCCACTCCATTCCTCACGACGAATTAAATCAGCACAGTTTTAAGTAAACAATCACCTGTAACTATTATAGGTTACTGACTAGTGTGGTAACTAGTTTAGATAGATAGATAGATAGATTTTGTCTAAACTGTATGTAGAAACCGGAAGAAAAGCTCGGCTGTCGAACTTGAGCATCAGGGGTGTCGTACAAGTTTAATGTTTGTAGCTAGAGAGATACCAAACCAATCCTGATAACCCTTCATTAGTCCCAAGTGTGGCACTCATACAGATTCCACAGCATAGCAGCCGAGCCAGGGAGGCTCGACTTGCTGCGTCTGTCGAGGACGCGGCGGTCGCGCTCACGCAGCGCGCGCGTATATATAGCGCGGCCGCGCGGCGCACTCATCACACACCACTCACACCACTCCGCGACAACATGAGAGCCTTCGTGAGTAGCACACATGCAGCATGTCATCGTATACCGTTGCCAGAGTGTGCCAGGTGACCACAACCCTCGTTCCCTTGTTTCAGATCGTCCTGTGCGCGCTGGTAGCGTTGGCGGCGGGCGGCGCGGTGCGCGAGAAGCGCGGCTTCAGCAGCGGCTGGGGCGGCGCCGGCGGCAGCTCGCTCAGCTCGGGCTGGAGCGGTGGCTACTCGGGCGGTGGCTACTCGGGCGGTGGCTACGGCGGCGGCTACGGCGGTGGCTACGGCGGTGGCTACGGCGGCGGTTACTCGGGCGGCTCCTCGGGCGGTTGGTCCGCGCCCGCCGCGAAGGTGGTGGCCGTGCAGAAGGTGGTCAACGTGCAGCGTGAGATCACTGTGCCCCAGGTCGTGAACGTGCGCAAGGTGGTCTCGGTGCCACAGGTGGTCACCGTCAAGCAAGTCGTGCCCGTCTCAGGCGGATACTCCGGCGGATACTCCTCCGGCGGTTACTCCGGCGGATACTCGGGCGGATACTCCTCTGGCGGACACTCCTCTGGTGGATACTCTGGCGGATACAGCGGTGGACGCTCCGGCGGTTACGGCGGCGGCTACTCCAGCGGCGGCTGGTGGTGAACTCTCTAGTCAACGACACGTTAATTGTGATATTAAGTTTTGTAAATAAATTAAATATTTTAATTAATTACGTATCTTTGAATTATAAAATTCGACACATTGGTTGAAGAACTGTAATTTAATACCTGCTAGAATAAACGTATTCTAAAGTAGAAACCATAGTACCTATGCAAATACTTAGAGTACTCCTCCTGTAGGATGGCACTGAAGGTGGAGTGACGATATTTACAGGTCAGAGAACCTAACGGGTAACCGGGGCTCCGGCTCGACGTGCAGGAGAAGGAACGGGGTGGTTTTTAGTCAGTAAGAGTCTGACACTCCCTCCCGCCTCGCCCAGGCGGCAGCAGTCATTCGATGATTTTCCCCCCTTAAAAAAAAAAAGTCTAGTATGTAGTTGTAGGTCATACCAGAAAATCGAGCTCAGTGGTGTCCGTTGGAAAGGCCAATGTCTGTTTATAGGCCTTTAATTTCTCTATTATTTATGAGACGATAATGACATCATTGTTAGTGTCATCATTGTCAGTGATTATGTCTGCTAAATGATTACAATCTACAGTATGTTCATGGAAAAGTGTCAAGTAGTATCACCTATTTATTTGTTTGTTTATAGGATCTCCAACAAAGGATACACGATTAACTCTCAAAGTGATTGACAGGTGGTACTATTCCAGTAATCCTTCACTTATAGGAGACCTCAGCACGCACAATAAAGCTTACAACCAGTAGTCAAAAATAGTACAATAACAAAATACTAAAAACGTTTTAATAATAATAACAAAAGGAAGAAAACAAATAAATTATACAATTATTCCACTTGAATATACTTAAGAACATATTACTGTAAGTATATTAATTCAGGATAAACGTGCAAGTGATAGTGGGCCGGTCACATTTGTCGAAGAACTGATAACCGTTGGGGTAAACGTGTTCTAGAATTGAAACCGCGTCTAGGAAAATGTAGTGTAGAACGCCCTCCACAGCTAGGTGGAGTGACGACATTCGCAAAATGGCTGGCAGTGGTTGGATGAGAAGAGCTGAAGACCGAGCTTAGTGGCGTGCCGTTGGAGAGGCCTATGTCCAACAATGGTCGAACACAGGCTGATGATGATGATGAAACTTACAATCCTAACTAAATACATTCATACATTCGATTCCGACGATTTACACAAAGATACAAGTGACACGATTTAATTAAACACCATCGCTACGGTGATAACTTTGGAGACATGCATGAACTACGTAGCAGTCCTCCCAGCCGACTAAATAACAACAGTGTTAGTCGCATGCAGAGGAATTAATGTTATAATACACCGTGAAATCGTTTTCGTCTCGTAGTAAAATGATGCTGTCTTGGTGATCAAAAGTATTACATGTTTAAAACACAAAATAACTGGTGAACCGTTGCAAAAAAATAACTTCAAAGTCAAAGTCAAAATCATTTATTTCAATTAGGCCAGAATGGCACTTTTGAACGTCAAAAAAAAAGCAAATTTATAGTGCATTATCAAAACATATCCATTTATTTATTTATTTATTTAGAAAATTTACCTCTATAACACTACAGCTTACGCCATTAAGTTATACTGTTAATCTTATATAAATACTTTTATTTAGGTACTTAAAATCAAACCAATTACGTAATTAAATATAAGAAATAAAAGTTAATACAATTCACAAACAAAATTAACAAAAAACTAAACAATGGAATTACAAAATTGGTAATCATAGTAATTGTAACTTGAAATTTGTAATTAATTGATTAATGTGCTATGTATTTCTCGAAGACGTATATCTCGTGTTGTGTTTCATGGGCGTATTTCAATGATTTTTTTTTAAACTAAGCCAAATGTTACTTCTCTCTTTTATTGTTTTTACTCTATATATAGAAAGTGCTTCTTTTGGCAAGTTGTTTGGCAGCGGGACGAAAACGAAACAGATTTCACCGAGTATAAACAAGTGTACTTTGATAAGTACTTTCACAGAAAGGTTTCGCTATTTCGCTGAGTTTTTATTTTCGAACAATTGTTTTACTAAAAATCTGATGACTTATGAGAAGTCGTAGAACACAGTACACAAATGCTTACAAAACATCTTGCATAGATCGCGCTATCATATTTCGTATCATTGACTGCACAGTTGGCGCGGTGGCTGGGCATTAGGCAACGTGTACCGAGTTCGATTCCCGCACGGAGCATCCACATATTGTTATTTTCTGGTTTAAGTGTCATTGTGTATGTGAACTTGTATGTTTGTAAACGCAACCACGACACAGGAGGAAGTCCTAGTTTTGAACAACCTTTAAAAAAGAAGAATTGTGTGTCCCTATGTCCGTACGTACATTATATTATAGTAATATTGTACGAGTTACACAGCCTCGTTGGCAGAGTGGTCGCAAGTGCGACTGCCGGGCAAGGGGTCTTGGGTTCGATTTCCAGGTCGGGCAAAGTATTACTGGGTTTTTTAAAAATTCTCAGTAGTAGCACGGAGCCTGAAACCATGCCCCCGTATGTGGCAACAGGCTCACTAACAGGCCCCTATTACATGGGACTCATAACATAAATAGTGCAAAGTGGGTGTTACATGTGTGTGTCGTGGTGGGCCGGAGGTTTAAGACGCCCTTTCTCATGAGGGTGCGGGCTCGAAACCTACCAACGGCAAGTACCATTGTGACTTTTTTCTAGTTATATGGACTTCCTAAGATTATCTAGATACCACTGACAAACGGTGAAGGAAAACATTGTGAGGACACCGGAGCTTAAAGTATCTAATTATAAGTTTAAAATCGCCAACCCGCATTGAGCAAGCGTGGTGATTAATGCTCAAACCTTCTCCGTGTGAGAAGAGGCTTTGCTCAGCAGTGGGCATTTATAGGCTGTTCATATGATGTACATGTATTAATACGGGTGGTTCATTGTACAGTGGCATCAAATGCCGTAATGGGCATATCTGCCTTTTTTTTTAAGGGGGGAAAATCATCGAATGACTGCTCCCGCCTGGGTGAGGCGGGAGGGAGTGTCAGACTCTTACTGACTAAAAACCACCCCGTTCCTTCTCCTGCACGTCGAGCCGGAGCCCCGGTTACCCGTTAGGTTCTCCGCGACATTAGGTTCTTCGCGACATTAGGTTCTCAGGTTCTCTGCGACAATTAGGTTCTCCGCGACGGGCATATCTGCCTATCCCTTCGGGGATAAAAGGCGTGGTATTATGTTATGATACACTCAAGATATTTACGAAATCGCGTAAAATGCACGCGTAATATTTTTTAGACATTATTATATTGTTACAATTACTTTATTAGTAATTAAGTTCAGTTCGCTGTCCGTCATCAAGCACACCGCGCGGTCTCATCTTTAAATCATTCATTTTATCAGATTTGGGCAATTCCGTGAAATTGAAACTTATCAATACTTTTATTTCGTTATCAAAATATTAGGATTGGCAAGAAAATCGTATTTAGGGATATTCTATGGCAACATTAAATTATAAGGAGAAAGGCTTTGTTTTTTTTATCTTATAAGTACTTTAATGAATTCCAGTAATATCCAGTATTACGTCATTAGGCACCGGAGATCAGATTGAATACTCTGACGAATCGTAAAACAAATTATAATACATATATTATTATGTAACGTTGAATTATTTCAATGATTTACAATGGTAATACTAAAAAAAACTATCAGTGAGAATAGAAACAAACCACATCCACAAGAAACCTCCGCAATCACACTATCTTCCAAGTACAGGAGGCTGCTACGTGAGTACTTCACCTCCGTCTTTTGTTAACAAAAACTTGTGTCTAGTAAACTGTATGTATGCAGTTACACATTACACGAAAATGCCCTCAGTGCAATGTATGAATCTATCGGCGACTATCCCTGTATGCACTATAGAAATGCACCCAAGGACAGTCCCCGGTTAGTGTACAACTATTGTGGATAACAGGAAAAAAGGTAGGTCTATGGATGAGTTGCTGTGGACTGGTAAATTGGAAACTATGGATGACTACGGCACCTACCGAAACTATGCAATTATTACACGTAAAAATGGCAGAATTGTTTGTATATAAACAAATAATATTAATTGATACCCTATCTACGTTCAATTACTCACATTCTAAGGTACCGATTTACTGAGAACTACGATTCTTATAAGTTGAAAGAACGTATATCGAAACCGGACAAGTACACAACCCTATTGTTCCAATTTGAACGTCGGCATTCAAAATGGAACAATAGTTGTTCTATGAAGTTTAATATTTTTTGTAGAAGGCGTAACAAGTAAAAATATCATTCCAAACCAAACCAAACAAGTCGAGCCTCCCTGTGCTGCGTCTGTCGAGGACGCGGCGGTCGCGCTCACGCAGCGCGCGCGTATATATAGCGCGGCCGCGCGGCGCACTCATCACACACCACTCACACCACTCCGCGACAACATGAGAGCCTTCGTGAGTAGCACACATGCAGCATGTCATCGTATACCGTTGCCAGAGTGTGCCAGGTGACCACAACCCTCGTTCCCTTGTTTCAGATCGTCCTGTGCGCGCTGGTAGCGTTGGCGGCGGGCGGCGCGGTGCGCGAGAAGCGCGGCTTCAGCAGCGGCTGGGGCGGCGCCGGCGGCAGCTCGCTCAGCTCGGGCTGGAGCGGTGGCTACTCGGGCGGTGGCTACTCGGGCGGCGGCTACGGCGGCGGCTACGGCGGTGGCTACGGCGGTGGCTACGGCGGCGGTTACTCGGGCGGCTCCTCGGGCGGTTGGTCCGCGCCCGCCGCGAAGGTGGTGGCCGTGCAGAAGGTGGTCAACGTGCAGCGTGAGATCACTGTGCCCCAGGTCGTGAACGTGCGCAAGGTGGTCTCGGTGCCACAGGTGGTCACCGTCAAGCAAGTCGTGCCCGTCTCAGGCGGATACTCCGGCGGATACTCCGGCGGATACTCCTCCGGCGGTTACTCCGGCGGATACTCCTCTGGCGGACACTCCTCTGGTGGATACTCTGGCGGATACAGCGGTGGACGCTCCGGCGGTTACGGCGGCGGCTACTCCAGCGGCGGCTGGTGGTGAACTCTCTAGTCAACGACACGTTAATTGTGATATTAAGTTTTGTAAATAAATTAAATATTTTAATTAATTACAAATTTTAATTTTTTTCCTAAAACATTTTATGTGAAGATAATATATGTATACTTATAATTTAATGTTGCCATAGAATATAGTTGTTGCATACACGGTGAAATATTTTTCGTCCCGCGGCAAAACAACTTGGCATAAGGAATGCTATCGGTGTATAAAATAAAAAAATGACATTTTTTTTGTGTAAAAAAATATCATCAAAATATGCACATGGAACAATAGACGTAAATTTGTAGGCACTATTCGCACCACACGTGCCACCCGCACGAGAAATACGTCTTCGAGAATTACATGGCTGGCGCGAAATTTGCAAATGTGCAACGCATCTGCTCCGGTGTTGCGGGTGTCCATGGGCGGCACCACGGCGCTGATCGCTTACCATCAGGTGACCCATGACGCCCGTTTGCCTTTTATTCCATAAAAATTGTACCTACTGTGAGTTCTTATGCGATTTCGAAATTTGCTTTTTGCAATGGTACACCATCTTACTTCGGTACGAAAACGAAGCTTAGCTTTTAGCTTTATTAACATCAGAACAACCACACATTACAGTACTCATGTGTAATTGTATAACAGGGACTAAAACAATTACAACGCTTGTCATTGACAAGTAAACTCAATAATTGAATGCACTTGTTGTGCCCAACGAGGTCCATGCTGAGTCCATGATGATCGGAATTACGTAAACACTGAATACGCTACAATTGTTACACACACCTCTATGTAATAATATAGAATGACCGGAACTACTGAGAACGGATCTCTTGAGGATATTCTAACCTACTGCTGATCAAATTTTTGGTTTGAATTTTTTAAAAGTTGCCCCACACTACGGTTGTTTCATGTGTCACAGAGGCGATTTTCAAAAAATTCACAGACACTTCGAGGCCGGAACAACATCCGTAAGTCATACTAAGAGTTGTTATAAATGTATTTTCTTTCTTTCTTCTTTCTTCTTTTGTTACGTGCGGAAATCAAACACCCGCTACAATTTGCATCGCAGCCAGTTACCCAGCCACTGCGCTACTCGTGTGGTCTTTACCCATTGATCTGCGGCTTCTGCAATCTACATTATATCTTCCTTCCCAACGAAACAAATATTGTGTGTATTCGTAACAGTAGACTTCCCTACATTTGTATGTCACAGAATGTATACAATAAGTGTTACCTACGCCACGTGCTTATACATAGTATTTAACATGCGTTATGATGTTATGTTGGTACTGACATTGACAAGACACACAAGTGATGTCAATAAAATTATCTGACAATAGTTTCGAACCCATAACAGATTCAGAGTGTGGCATGAAACAATAGAAATACTAGTGCCTAGACTAACAGGTTAGAACAGATATTTTGAAACACATGGAACACGCGGCCTCACTAGACGATACCGTCGGTCACACTGTCTCCGAAATAAATGCAATAAAGTTCTTTTCGTAATAATTGGACGACTTGGCAGTGGTCAAACCGGAGCCCCGTGACAACTGGACGCACAAATATCTCCAAATATGTAATAATCTAGCCACCTAGCCGCCTAGCCTGCCGGACGTCTACACTCGTACGTTCTAGATCCTGTACGAGTCTACATAGTCTCGGTGATAATGAACCGAGAGACACACGCACGTGTTATCAAATGCTTGCTTTATACAAAAGCTAATGTTGCGTCAGTTTACACTTGTGACCCCCGTGTCCTATATAAATAGGGTGAGCTTGATACATAGTACTCATAATGGAATATTCGATTTGAAAATTCGGACGAGGACATACAGGTTCACTTCTACCTTAATTACGTACATATAACTAGCGAAAAGAAAGTGGGATGCTGCCTACCCTCTATACGTTTGTTTTGTATGTATTTGTAGAGCATTCACAGACACAAATAATTATATATTGGAAACTAGTTTTTTTTATGGCATAAGCCGGTAAACGAGCATACGGATCACCTGATGGTAAGCAATGGGCGTCGCCCATGGACACCTGGAACAACAAGTGTGTTACCGGCCTTTTGGGAATTGGCAATTTGAAAATTGTGAAAGATTTGCGAATTGGGTAGACCGGGGAGGGGGGGTAATTGGGCCTCCGGTAACCTCATTCGTCATTCCTCATTCGTCGTGTGAATGAACACGTCGGTTTTCTGTGAGGCCGTGGTATCACTCCGGTCGAGCCGGCCCATTCGTGCCGAAGCATGGCTGTCCCACTCTTAAGAAGTTCTCTCGAACACGTTAACAGAGTTTAATAATTATAGCAACCATGTTTCACCAATTGTGTTACACCGCGTTATAATATATGGCCGGACGATCAACATTCGGCGTCTGTGGAAATTCCCAGTCAATATGATGTCAGCCACATCCAATACTGAACATAGTAGCTCCCTACTCCCTCTACCTCTATAATATATAATAGAGAACTCTTTAAAATTGAAAATCCCCGAATACAAACTTGAAATCGTAACACTTACAACTATTAAACACAACACATAACAAAAACCTAACTACTTACTTTATATTCTTACAATTATTTTATGAACATGTATGATACATATTTTCGGGTAAGTATGACTGCATTCTGTACCATTTGTTAATCAGTTATTAGTTATTTTTATTTGACCTTGACCTTTGGTCTGTATATATGTTCGCCGAGGTGCCGTATCCGCCTGGCAGGCCTTCGTAACCACTTGCACTGTAAGTGACTGACTGTGACTGACTGACTGACTGACTTTCAATATTTCATCTCGGAGTAATTAAGGTTCTGTATTATCGTTAGGTACTCATACCAATGTATAGGAACACAAGTAGATACCTATTGTTACTTCTGATCCTGTCCTGTCCTTGTCTCTGACTGTGGGACAGTGACTTGGTATCAGCGGAATACATTTTCTCCTTCCGTTCTCCCGTATCAAATTAATGTATCACGTGACGCAAGTAATATACAATAGTACACGAGTAACACCTGCTCACTGTCTCACTGAGCCTACCGCTGTGGTAACCCAATGAAACTTCTTCCTTAGCAATCGTAGTTTGATTTGAACAAGATCGATTGCTCAGACCTTCTGTATAAGCTGTCCTTTAATGTTCGGCAAAAATCGGTTCGGGTTAACCCACCAATTGCTGCCCCAACTTGTTCCTCAAATTATAGGCAGAACGCCTATATTAAATAGTGAGCTGGGACTTTAATACACTGTGCAAAGATTTAGGACTCGATTCGTTTACCACTTGCAGTTCCAGGGTGCGTAGGCAGCTAAACCTTTAATTGGCTTTGTATGTCATTCTGCTGAATTGTTATTCTTTGTAATATTGCTATTAACTTCTTGAGCCTTTGTAACAATATTTCTTCAACTACCTCTCCCTTGCTTCGAGATACTGTCAGCACTGCTCAATGTCGTGACCTTCTGCATCACTTTCTCATGTAAGATCTTTCTCGATGCACTTCTTAATCCTATGTATAAATTTTCTTGTCATATGATTAAAAACCACTAATGTTCTAAACTTTCTACTTTATATTTTACATTAAGATATTAGTTGTAGATACTAATGCATTCATCTATTACTACATGTATTACAAGTAGGTAACAAGTAGGTAAACCTAAGAATAGATGTGTATCTGGTGCAAGATACAAGCAAACATATCGGTGCGAACGTGTTATTGAATCATCGCGAGCCGCCCTGTGCTGCGTCTGTCGAGGACGCGGCGGTCGCGCTCACGCAGCGCGCGCGTATATATAGCGCGGCCGCGCGGCGCACTCATCACACACCACTCACACCACTCCGCGACAACATGAGAGCCTTCGTGAGTAGCACACATGCAGCATGTCATCGTATACCGTTGCCAGAGTGTGCCAGGTGACCACAACCCTCGTTCCCTTGTTTCAGATCGTCCTGTGCGCGCTGGTAGCGTTGGCGGCGGGCGGCGCGGTGCGCGAGAAGCGCGGCTTCAGCAGCGGCTGGGGCGGCGCCGGCGGCAGCTCGCTCAGCTCGGGCTGGAGCGGTGGCTACTCGGGCGGTGGCTACTCGGGCGGCGGCTACGGCGGCGGCTACGGCGGTGGCTACGGCGGTGGCTACGGCGGCGGTTACTCGGGCGGCTCCTCGGGCGGTTGGTCCGCGCCCGCCGCGAAGGTGGTGGCCGTGCAGAAGGTGGTCAACGTGCAGCGTGAGATCACTGTGCCCCAGGTCGTGAACGTGCGCAAGGTGGTCTCGGTGCCACAGGTGGTCACCGTCAAGCAAGTCGTGCCCGTCTCGGGCGGATACTCCGGCGGATACTCTGGCGGATACTCCTCCGGCGGTTACTCTGGCGGATACTCCGGCGGATACTCCTCTGGCGGACACTCCTCTGGTGGATACTCTGGCGGATACAGCGGTGGACGCTCCGGCGGTTACGGCGGCGGATACTCCAGCGGCGGCTGGTGGTGAACTCTCTAGTCAACGACGTTACAAAAGGCTATTTATGAAATAAATGTTTTTTTTTTAATTTGTTGAATATTCATTATATAATGGTACTTTTTCGAGAGAAAAAGATATTAACAATGATTAAAAGTGCAATAAGTGGAAACAGTAAGAGCCCCAAACCGACGAGGCGACGACTACAGACAGGTATAGTACTCGTAAATTATAAAACTTACTCTATCTGATAGTACACAATGAATGTATCTAAACAAAAATGAATTGCTGTTCGTTAGTGTCGCTCGGACTCGAGAACGGCTGAACCAATTTGGCTTTATTTGGTCTGGAAATATTCGTGGATGTCCTGGGAACGCTTAAAATGTGAGAAACCAAATGTTTAGGCGGAACGAAGTTTGAAGACTTTTAATATCGCAGTTTTATTTGTATTCATACAAATTCTATCATTCAATACAAAATAAAGAAAAATAAACCTTATGACAAGACCAGTAAGGATGCATATACATGTTAAATTAAATATTTAGTGTATGTATTATGATTATAACATAATATTCTAATTGGGGTGTTTAAGGGTGCGCGATAATTACGTTACATGTTGTATATATAGGTTTAACAAATGTTAAGAAGTTTAATCAGTCGCAAATGAGAAGAGAAGGGAGGTCACGTGGTATAGACCATAGATAATAAACAGCGTTACCCATGTACACCCGCAACACCAAAGCAGTGCGTTTATTGACTTTATTGCACGTGAATTACAAATGCGTCGCAAACGCAATGTGAGCATTTGTGGTAAGAGTACTACGGACGAGTCGTTCAATCATACCAAAACTAACTCTCCCATGAAAACTACGGCATTTATTTCGTTTACATATACATTCTTGTGTATGCATATAAATAATAATACAATTTTAGTACCTACATAAACATAAGCTAAGAGTGGGAGAGCCATGCTTCGGCACAAATGGGCCGGCTCGACCGGAGTGATACCACGGCCGAGCAGAAACCGACGTGAAGCAACGCTTGCGTTGTGTTTCTTCACGTGAGTGAGGTTACCGGAGGCCCAATTACCCTCCCCTTCCCCAATCTCCCCAATTCATAATTCCCTAACGATCCTCAAACTCCTCATCCCCAAAAAGCTGCTAACGCACTTGTTACGCCTCTGGTGTTCCAGGTGTCCATGGGCGACGCCGATTGCTTACCATCAGGTGATCCGTCTACTCGTATACCGGCTTATGCTATAAAAAATCTGATGTTAGCGCAGCGCCTACTGTATGCCTCGAGCTATTTTTGTTTCTGTGGTAACTTAGTGAAATGAGAATTATTACAGGAACTAAATATTTGATTATAATAATTGCGTTACGTTTTCTTAAATACATTAATTAAATATGTATATATACGTTTTAAAATGTTAATCATTTCCTTTTATAATTGATGATCGCGTTTAAGAAAAAAAAGCAATTTCAATTAAAGTTTTAATTTCTACTACAACTTTTTTTTTTCTCGTAAGTTTGTACAAAAATGTATTCGTTTAACATTTGAATGTTGATAGGTAATCTCCAAGACGATTTAGGTACCCAATAAAAACACAAAAGTGGTATACACATGACACAGAAGTACCTCCTTCTCGTATCACGCGAGCAATACTATACAGTGTACATGACGCGTGCTATGCGCAACATGTGCGCAGGCGCCCTGTGCATGTGTTGCGCACACACAACATATATACACATCACACTTCAACAGCCTCTAAGTGCTATAACTTAGAGCTGACAAGAACTGTTAGCCCATTGTCCACATAACCGCACATTAGACTATCACTAGAACATCTTGCGTAGAAACAAACAAAACTGTGTCCACGGAGTGGCAACGTTGTCACTGACGACTCATAAATACTCTGCTTCTTATTATTTGTAGGTTGCATGCATTTGCCAAGTGACGCGTTGTGGCTTGGACAATAAGCCTTAGTTAGACTGTAACTTTGAGAATTTGAATTTCATGTTTCTTTTAAACGTTGCTCCGCACAAGAAATGTCTCTTGCGTCGTTAACAACAAACTACAAACATACATTTTCACTTAATATACATACATATTATATGACTCCAAGACCCGACACAACAGTTTGTATATCACACAAAGAGATTTTCGTTTTACGGTAGGCAGTGACTCAGCCACCAATACACCGGCACCGTGCCAGCCGGGCAGTCAAACTATTTCATTGAAATTTAGACAATAATTTTACTTGGTTACCGTAGCTCGTGACGTGCTACGAAATACGCGCTACTAGCTACGGCTGTAGTATTGCACCGCAACTGTCATCAACGACCTCACAGTATTAGGTACTGATATTGACACAAATAACGATTTTAATTCCACGACTATTCAAAATTCTTTTAAAAAAGTATTGAATTACTTTTGGTTTTATTAGTGGTACTCACGGAATAAAAATCTCCCCGAAGGGATAGGCAGAGGTGCACATTATACCTCTGTACAATGTAACACCCACTTTTCACTATTTATGTTATGAGTCCCATGTAATAGGGTGTGCGCCTATTGCCATATACCGGGCACAATTCCAGACTCCGTGCTACTACTGAGAATATTTAAAAAACCCAGTAATACTTTGCCTGACCCGGGAATCGAACCCGAGACCCCTTGCCCGGCAGTCCCACTTACGACCACTCGGCCAACGAGGCAGTCTAATGTAACATTATATGCATTATAGGAATAACTCGCAAAAATTAAGACCTGCCCGGCTCGTGGCGCACCTTCATGCTTACAGCACCACATACCACAACATACGTATCTATTTACTTAAATTATTTGAGTAAATAGATACGCATGTTAAATTACCAATGATAAATTACCAATACTGGTTGTAGCCGGCCGGTGTATAGCTCGCCTCCAATATTACATGAGAAAAATAAAATAACATGCTAACAATTATTGTAGGTGATACTGTTTCACGAAGGCAGTAGAGCAATGTTTACTGATTCAATAGTAAATCACTAGTGAAGTCATAAATAATAAGTATTCGGCACTGTTCCGTGCGCCATCAATAACGACGCAGCACCGCCCCACGCCCGGCGCCCGGCGCACGGCGCACGGCGCACACGTCGTACACTGATGACATGGTTTTATGTTTAAAGTGATCGAAACGAAACCTCGTCCGGCGCTCTCATTGGTTGGTTCATCGGAGCCGGCCAATCACAACGCTGAACGCGTACTCGTTACGATTACTTTAACGTAAAAGAAATTCGTACTAAGGCCTCAGAGCACACCACACTACACGATGTACTGAGGCGGCGTGATATCACTGCGATGTTGCACAAGGTCACTGCGCTCTGCTTCATTACAGCAACAAGCCCATTATTGTGACATTGTGCGTAAGACAACTCTCACGTCACGGGACCGCAATAGTGTAGCTAATCAAAAACAAAAGCTATACTCAGACGTAATTCAGCTGCCGATTCGGAGTCGCGGAGAACCTAACGGGTTACCGGGGCTCCAGCTCGAAGTGCAGGAGTAGGAACGGGGTGGTTTTTAGTCAGTAAGAGTCTGCCACTCCCTCCCGCCTCACCCGGGCGGAAGAAATCATTCGATGATTTTCTCCACTTAAAAAAAAAGAACAAGACGTAATTCAGCAGCGAAAGCGGAACATAGGAGACATGGCTTGCGTAATGATTGAAATTACACAACGGGAGCTATATTGTAACCGACCAAAATTAGCTCCCTTCATATTAATCGCCATGCTACTTTAAACCCTGTACATAGCAATAGGAGCCAGTGGCGGTGTCGCCAGTAGTCCAGTACGCGCCGCGCCTGCAGCCGTGTGCACTAGAGCTCGGAGCCGCGCTGTCTGCCTGCTAATTAACGGGCGCCCGCAACGTTTCCTACTTCCACATGCCGCCACGTAACCAATCAATGTCTTCACGAATCACTACAACTCGGTAATTGGGTCTAGCATTGTCACTCAGTGCACACACCAACAATCAACTTATACATAAACTAACAAGGCATTTCTTCATACTTTCATTAACTAGCGACATGTGCCAAGGCTATTGATGTCCATAAAGTACGGGATTGTGGAATACTAGTAGGGTAAATAAATTACGTTATTTTTTATTTATATATTTGGGAAAGCAACAGCTTAACAACCAACAGTTATTCTAATTGTAACTGAAAGGTTCTTTAGAGTCCTTACTTACTATACTATATTACTATATATCGGAAAGTGAGTTTGTTTGTTTGTTTGTTCCGACTTCACGCCGTAACTACTAAACCGATTGCATTGAATTTTTACAGACGTAAAGTTAGTAGTCTGGATTAAATAATAGGGAACTCTTTATCCCAAAAAAATTTGATATTCCCGAGGGAAAACAAAAGTATTGGTATAGATGGCGCTGTATGTATTGCTATATGTCCCATAGGCTACTTTTTATCCTTTTGTGACGCGAGCGAAGCCCCGCGGCTTACCCGCGTAAAAGCTAGTATAAAATAATTTCCAAGTTGCAGCAATTAAGTGTATGTAACACTTAATTGCTGCAACTTGGAAATTATTAATATAATGTGAATAAAAAAAAATTGTTTTCCTTCATCACATCTATTTCTAATAACTCCAAGCACAGACACGAGGAATCAAATCTATATACCCTAAAAGTTTGTAAGAAAGTGGGTAAACTAAACATATTTACTCGAATTGTTCTACTTCCACGTAAAATTTCAGGTAGCGAGTGTCGTGGACGGCAACGGACGTAGGGGACTTCCTACTGTAATACTGAACGAATGACAGTACCGTACCGTGAGTCTTATGTATATTGTATACTTTGTATGCAAGGGATCGTTCCGGTGGTCGTTCGGTAGTATAATGGAGCAGCCAATGGTCAGCAGTGGTGTTTTCTCCCGGCTGATAATATGATGGTGAAAGACGACTAATATAAAACATTTGTATTAATATTTACTTACTGAGGGTACTGGGTGACACGGGTGTTGCGAAATAAAGGAACGTTGTGAGAGCTCGGTGGCCGCACCGCGCCACAGAGGACGCCAGCAAGACGCGGGCGCGAGCGCACCAGATGACCAGAATAACAACAGCACGCCGCGACCGACATACGCCGCATCAGTAATTCACACGGATAGCGGCGGCGTCACCCGTTGAACATCAATTTAATTGTAAACCTGAGTTGTCGCAACAAAGCCAGGGCTTTAGTTAAATGTTGTAACATGCCACAGTGCGCCCTGTATATAACAAGCACCGCCGCCGCCGACCACTATAGTTCACCATCCGCCCAGGCCCCTCCGACGTCCCGCCATGAGGACCAGCGTGAGTATCACTGCTGTAATCTGCTAACGTTAATATCTGGTACACAATGTACGATTGTCACATTCACTTGTAACATTGTAAATTCTCGAGGACATTTTCAATAAATAAAATACATACATTTAAGTAGCCCCGGTACATGGCCATAGGCTCACCCCTATTACATGGGACTCATAAAATAAATAGTGAAAAGTGGGTGTTACATTGTACAGTGGCATTAAGTGCCGTAATGTGCACCTCCGCCTTCCCCTTTCGTGACAAAAGGCGTGATGTTATGTACAAATTTTAAGTTTAGCCAATCCACACAACAGCTAATTACTTAAAGAAAACATTCCAAGGGCACATTTACGTAGCAAAAACCTTCTTGAATGTTCCCAGGTGATCATACTAATACTGGCCGCGAGCGCGCTGGCCGCAGCGGCGCCGAGTGTGCGGTACAGCACTGTACTGTACTCCGCGCCGCGCTACTCGTCGGCGGCCCTCGTGCGCGCTCCGGCTGTAGTCTCCGTCAGCAGAATCGTGGCCGTGCCGCGAGTAATATGATATGTCTATATTTAAAGTTTTGTAGTCCACAACACGCGGCAGTTGGAGTAACATTGTGTTCCGTGGGGCAGGTGGTGACGGTGAGCAGGGTGGTGTCAGCGCCGCACGTGGCGCGCTACGTGCTACCGGCTGCGCCCGCCCGCCTGACTCTTGCCTGGTGAGCGGAGCCCCCACTAAACATGAGGCAATACGAAAGCAAAGGACAGACCATTCCGTTCCACCGAACTTTTAGTTTTAAACAGTTTTATATTTTACAATAACAATAAAAATAATTATTATATTTTTACGAACTTTTATTTAACAAACATAACAACATAACATCATGCCTTTTAATCCCGAAGGGGTAGGTAGAGGTGCACATTACGGCACTTCATGCCACTGTACAATGTAACACGTGTAACACACATGTGATAGGGGGTGAGCCTATTGCCATACATACATACATATGAACTTTTATTTCGAAGACATTAATCAGCCCTTTCACTAGTTGTAGAGGATTTTTAAGCCTAGGCTTTAAGATAATCAGAGCTTCGTAATACAATAACGAAGGAAAGAAAGATATGTATAACAAGGTTTGTTGTATTTCATTTATTATTTAAAGTTGGCCAGTATTGTAGTTGGTTGGTAATTCCAGGAAGTAAACATCAACTACAATACTGGCCAAACTAAGGGATATACCTAAGGCTGTCATCATGCCTGTATGATTTGTAGCTATGTAGTTAGAGCACGCCCATCCCTTACATTCTTCTCTCCGTAGCATCAATATCACGCAGCTATCAGGTCGGAGTGACGTCCCGCCGGCCGGTAGGCGTGGTGAGACTGTGAGTGCCGGCAGACAGCTTCAGCCAGGAAGCGAAGTGGTGGAACTATACGCAGCGGCACACGCAACACTACGTCCGCTGAAACTGAAGTACAGCGTGCGCAGGCGCCGCTAGTCAGTCGAGTTCGTACCTCGCATCCAACATGGACGCACGCGTGAGTCTTTCTTGATAGCTAGCACCAAACTTATTGTTACAGTTTCCTAATCGTGGTTTCCGGTGTACAGTGTAGATGCCGTCAGCTTTTGTACTACTTATTGTACTACAATTTAATATCACCGACAGTTCGGTCGCTTAACAATTAAATAATGGACAGAGATTATGAGATGGAGGTCCAGTACTGTGGAAGATAGAGGTATTGAATGGAGCGTGATATTGATCGAGATTAAACTTTCAGACGCAACTGGTGGTGCTTTGCGCATGCGCTGTGGCGCTGGGCGAGCCGTTTGGGCAGGCACTGCATCGACGCAGTCGTTACGGAATGTACATGGACGAGTATTCGCGTGACTTCGAGCCGTACTACTTCGCGGCCGTGCCACTGCACGCACCCGTGCCCGTACTGCGCGTGCTCAGCCCGGCGCCGCTGCAGGGGCGTGAGCGCACGCTCACAGCGTCCTCGCGGCACCAGCCACTGTACTCGCGTGCCCCATATCACGACGCCTCATACGAAGTCGAAGCCTACGAGCCACCGCCGTACGACAGGTACGCGCCCGCTGCTAACCAGCTGAGCCAGTCGCCGCCGCTATACGTGGCGACGGCGAGCAGCAGCGCAGCTGAGGAGCCGACCGTGCTGTACGCGCGGCCCACGGCGCAGGGCGGCTACACGTACCATACGGTGCCCGCGCCGCTCCGGCCCGGGCCCGCCAAGCGCGCCCCGGCTACCGACTCCCCTTATATGATAAGAGTGCACAAGTACAGGATTGTCAAAGAACGGTAGTCCTATATCTATAAGTAGTACGTATACCTATGATACAACTGACCAAGTACATATTAAAGTAGTACTTACAATAATTTAAACATTATTTATTGAGGTACACCTAGGTCCGCGTGTGCCCACTCGTACCTATGTATCGTAATTTTAAGCTACATTTAGTTTCGTCGGTAAAACTACTCTGTAGAACATAAGTAATAAAATAAGTTACAATAAGTCTCGTGAACTATACTCGTCACGTCGTCACTACCCTGCCTGTTGTAATGTTGTAGGCCCGTATGTCTGTGCTAAATGAATTAATAATTTCCCATGTACCACAATCCAATGGTCAGTCGTTATACAACATCATAATTCACCATTGCGAAAATTGTCATTTTTACAACCGTATAATTCATATGGAAAGCTTTTTCGAATAATGTAATTAAATAATTTATATAAGTATCTAATAATAATTAAATGTCGTATTTTTAGTAACTTGTTTTAGTTAAACTCCCTGTTATTTATAAACATCCTACCCAAGCCTGTACTAGCTAAACTATGAATTTGGTATTTTGTACCTACTAAACAAGACTGCTGCCTTCTAGTTATTTATTGGCAGCCGTGTACTGTAACAACACGGTTTGCGGCTGCGCCGGAAACACGGTAATAAAGGCGCGATTGCTTACATATAACCCCTGACACCTCTAGTGAGAACTGAATACTAAGCATATTCTACAATGCTTTACAAACCCCATTGAAACAAACCAAGTAGGTACTGGAAAAATTAAGTCCTGTGGAGAGTTCGAGCCGGTACTACTACGGCTAATGTATGCAGGAAGTGAGTGCTACCTACATGTGATGCTTTAGACACGCAATGTAAGTTAATTAGCACGAGTGCGCATGCGCAGTGTGCTCGTGTCCACGTTGTACTCGTACCAACAAACTCAAGAAACTATTCGTCCACGTCGTTACTGAAATAAGTTCATACATTTTTTCATAGCTATGTGGTTCCGCTTCCGTCATAAGCCCCGGCTTCCTAGCCACCTGCCTGGCTGAGTTGCTCATCCGTTCGACATGTAATCACGATTGTAAACACTTTACATGACATGCCTAATTACCTAGGTATGCCTAATTCTATCTCCCCCTTTTGAGAAGCAGTCATGATAGCTAAGGAGGAGGCGGGACGCGCGAGGCAGCGAAGCGCTGCCTCCTCGCAACCCAGCCATCGCGAAGGACACACCGGGCGTCGGGGATCGCGAGACAATCTCCGGCCACCGTAAGCGCGGGCTTGCGGACGGCGAGCATGGGTGGCTTCCCGTCCGACCAGAAACAGAACCGAGCGTACGGCGCGTCGCGTTATGCGCGCGCCTCAAAGAGCCATCCACAGATATAATAAAAGGAGCCATCAGACCACCACAGATGGAGCCCAATAGGGCTGATGCCGATTCGGAGTCGCGGAGAACCTAACGGGTAACCGGGGATCCGGCTCGACGTACAGGAGAAGGAACGGGGTGTTTTTAGTCAGTAAGAGTCTGACACTCCCTCCCGCCTCACCCAGGCGAGAGCAGTCATTCGATGATTTCCCCCATTAAAAAAAAATGCCTAATTCTATTTTTTTTAATAACAATTACTTGCAACTAGTCTACACGACCCACGACTCAACAATTGCAAAATTAGATACGTGGAATGTATAAGTTACATACTACTTTTCTTATATGTATTAATTTTGAAGCAATAAACAAGATTTATATAAGGTAGGTAACACGCCTGGCCATACTTTCGATAAACAAGTACCTATGTATTATTAGAACTCTAGTCTAGAAATACTCACTATCTAAATCATTTCACATCTGAATTGCCCCGTTACAAACAAAAGCTCTTCTGTTTGATTAATTTTGTGTTGTTCAGTACAAGTTCGAAAATAGACAGTTGATTGTAGGTCGTTAGATTTTTATTAGGTACCTACTCATGACATAAATTCGATGACAAAAGTGTTACACAAGTAATTCAACATTAATGTACAACAAATGGGACAAAATGTCCCTGTTAGTAGGTACCTGTCTACTGTTATTGAAAATAAAAGAAGGGGTATTAAGATTAACTAAGGAACTTTTTAGAAATGAACTAAGTTCAAAATGGCTTTTAGTTTTTTTATAATTAACTAGCGACCCGCCCGGGCTTCGCACGGGTGCAATATGCATGTATTATACATATAAACCTTCCTTAAGAATTACTCTATCTATTAAAAAAAACCGCATCAAAATCCGTTGCGTAGTTTTAAAGATCTAAGCATACATACGGACATACAGCGAAAGCGACTTTGTTTTATACTATGTATTGATATAGTAATTGAAAAATTTACGACGTGGGAATGAAAAATTAAACTTAGGAAGCTTGTAAGAAAAGTTAAAACCATCTTTTAAAACAAAGATGTACCTATTTATATTTAATAGACTTTGAAATATATATATATATATATCATTATTATGTAATCCACCGTGACATTTGGGACGAGGGGTTTCCAGGTAGATGGTAGCTAATGACCTCCCAAATCCCAAAAAAAAGTGTGTCGGTCCATAGGCCAAACACCCTGTATATTTATTGCTTTTGTATAGTTATAATATTTCATACCTATTTAGTTTACCTATTATTGCAAAAAATATTTAGAAGAAGAAGCGGAAGAAAAAACTTTATTTCACGCCAAAAACAAGTGACAAGTAATTCATCCTATTAGCAGGAACTGGTGGATACATGTTCATGTCCCAAGTCAGCCGCAAAATGGGTTCTATTAAGTTAGTGGATAAACACCCAATATTTAGTTAGTCAGTAGGTATATTTATCCATTTTGAATATTTATCCGAAATCTCGTGATCGCTATGTCGAACACGACAGTGAGATGCGGGTGTCTTAAATCTCCAAGGCTGTTGCCCTGGAGATTTAAGACACCCGCGTCTCATGCTTGAGAGTGCGGGTTCGAAACCTACCAAGGGTAAATACCTACCAATGAAATATTTTGTAAGTTATATTTTCTAAGATTATTGAGACATCACTGACAAATAGTAAAAGTAAAAATTGCGAACAAAGGGCTTATAATTTCTAATTATTAGTTTGAAATAGCCAGCCCGCATTATGCTAGTGTGGTGTTAATGCTCAAAACTTCTCCATGTCAGAATATGCCTTTGGTCAGCGGTGGACACTTTTAGGCTTTTGATAACGTGATGTGATAGGATCCGAAAAATCTCCCATCTCTTATTCCTTTAGATAACTTTGGATATCGGGCTACGACACTGGGTTTTACCCAGTGTCGTATCCAAAGTTAGCTCAATGGCCGAATCAAGTAAGAACAATTTTAATCAATTAAACTCAATTATTGTTGTATTAAGGATTAATAAAATTAGAAAAGTAATAATCTATCAACATTTACTAGAGTCTTGACAACCTTAGGAATATCGGTTCGACCATCGACTTAACGTCTGTGTCGTTCGTAATCATAGATTTTACTGAATATATCACTGATATGATAAGAGTATGGATAAGAAACAACTAGGAAAAAATCGTGCCAACATAAACTTCACTTGGTCACCTGTAATGGCGGATAGAACTAGGGATGTAACTTTTAAAACTGTAGAA